AACCAATACAAAATAATATATGTTGACACAGATTAGGAAAATTAAGAACCATTAATTTATTTTATTGAAAATGATGTGAATGCATAATTTTGTAGCACATGAATTTGCTTTCCAAAGAAAACTCATAATGATGTTTCATTATGCTCTCTCAAGTTAACAAATCAGTATCTAGAAACTAATTTGGAGGATACTTAAGAGTAAGACAAATTTTAGTTTCCCAAATAATCAAACAAGGCCCATGAATCACAAAATTACATTAAGCAAATCGCTCTTTTCAAGAACCAAACAATCCAAAAATAAACTGTGCAAGTCTTATCGATGAACTAAATTCAAGATCTGATCATGGAATGTCGACATATAGGGCAAATTGGATTAACCAACAACCACTCCTTGATGCAATGGCCGTGGAATGAATGTTGGCAGGACACCAGAACACCGATTTTCTGGTCCTTAGTGAAAGCCTCAAGACATATTACACAGTCATCGTTCTTGCAAGTACTACTATCATATATTTGCTCCTGCACAATTTCACCATTAAGTTGGGTGCCTGCTTTTTGGTTAAGGATTCGCTGTTGTATCGCCTCTAGAAGATGGTTGTTGACAGGGGTGCTTGTTGGCATTAGGGTTGGTGGTATCGCCACCACCACATGGTCGTTAACATGGGCTGTTGTTGGCATTGGGGTTGGTATGGCTATCCTATCAATCATGGAAGGAAGGGACACAAGAAAGCGAAACAGAGCAACAACACAAGGCAGCACAAAGAAGTTGACACACAAAAACGCTGGACACAAACATAGCACGAACATGGAACAGTACGCAGATATGGATATCCAATCAATCATGGCTGATCGATTAGCTAACGTTAACGTTTCAATTCTAATTGTGATCATATATATTATAATATAATGGGATAAAGATCCATATAAGGAAAGAATTAAAAATTAGGTTGACGGACTGAGTCGGAGGCATGCGGTTGTTAATATCTATCCGTATTATACTAGGAAACATCTTCTTTGGTTTTATATATTGAATTATCTATTTATAACTATAATCTTGAAGGAAACGGAAACTACATGCACCTTAATGAGGCAATTTTCGTTTAGTGGGTAGAGTCCTAAGATGGACAGGAATATGAAATTTGGTATAAACCGAGACCGTTTAGGGAGTTTTTGTTAATGGGTCAAGACAAATTGGTTACGGACCGTGATCGTGTAAAGAAAACCAAAGGGTTTAGTACTTTATTGCCATCTTCTATAGTTCTATTTCACTTTAAATATTTAACAAAATATTCTAAAAATATATTAAGCTGTTTATTGAAAAGATATATAGTATTAAACTTGTAACATTTTCCTGTTAACGCTACAAGAAAAGAGGGTAATAGCCGCGACAAAAGTCACCACTAACGACTGTAAAAGTAGTCGGTAAAGGTAATGGCGGCGACACGCCGTCGGTAAAAAGTCGTCACTACTGCCCCGTCGCAATTGATCAAAATGTCGCCGGTAACAACAGTTGTCGCCGCTAATTCAGGTGTCACAGGTAATAACCGTTGTTGCCGCTAATGCTCGATACCGTTTAGGAAGTTTTTGTAAATGGGTCTAGAAACATTGGTTATGGACGTGATCGGGTAAAGAAAACCAAAGGGTTTAGTACTTTATTGTCCATCTTGTATAGTTCTATTTCATATTAAATATTTAACAAAATATTTTAAAAATATAATAAGCTGTTTATTGAAAAGATATATTAAACTTATAACGTCCTCCTGTTAACACTATAAGAGATCAGGGTAATAGCGGGGACAAAAGTCACTACTTGAAAACAAGGGGTTTTATTACAGAAAAATGGCTACGGACAATTTTCGTAGGTAATTACCTACAAAATATATACGGAATGGGATACCCTAATTTAGTAACGGAATAACTACATAATAGCTGCGGAATAGCGACAAACCTAAATTCGTAGGTATTCCGTTGGTAATTAGCTACCGAATAGCGACAGAAGTAATCCGTAGGTGTTCCATAGAAAATTAGCTTTAGAATAGCTATGGGCTACCGACAGAAGAAAATAGCAACAAAAAAGCTACAAAGTATGACGTATAACTTGGTGAAAACAAAGTATTCAAAGTATAATGATATTGTGAAAAAAAAATGAAACGAAAAAAACGGCATCTAACCCTTGAAAAATATAGAAAATACAAAACGATCGTAGGTAATCTGTAGGTAAATACCTACAAATTACCTACTGATAAACGTTATCCGTAGGTAATCCGTAAGTATTTACCTACGAATTACCTATGGTCGGTAAGGTATAGCGGTGACACGTCACCGGTAAAAAGTCGTCGTAATCTCATCGTCGCTATTGATCAAAATGTCGCCGATAATAACACTTGTCGCCACTGATTCTGCTGTTGCCATTAATAACCGTTGTCGCTGCTAATGTTCTAGTCGCCCGTAATCATCTTTTCGTCGGTAATAGTGTCACTGGTAATAACATTTTTCATTAAACTTTTTTTTATTCAACGATTTTGGTGCAAAAACCCCGATACATAACGACGTTAAATGCAGAAAAAATTACATAATATCGGATTAGGTACCAAATAGTGTAACGACACCTATATACTTGACTTTGACTTGACCAGAAGCTTGCCGGTTGTCACGCTCAAGGTGGTTTTTTGTTGGCTAGTAAGGAAAAATCACATGTTTGTAAGCTTTGTGGAAATGTATGTTCAAATCGGAGTGACTTTGGACTTGACCGGGGAAGAGGTTGGGGGTCCGGGAGAAGTCGAGATGGTAATGAAAGTATCCACGATAAATGCCACGTTAAATGTTACCAATGTAGTGAATTTGGTCACTATAGCAACGAGTGTCCTAAATAGGAGAAAGAATATTCAAATCTACTCGAAGAGGAACCGACATTTTTTTTTGAACGAGTGGTGGATATGATCAAACTGATTAAGGGGGTGATTGTTGGAGTAATCGGTTGACCCAAAAACAATGAGTCTTAGTTTTGAGCCATATGGATTTAATAGGAAAGTTTTATTAGTTTAAGAAAGTTACTTTATGCAACTTTTGTGTTAAAATAGGAGTCTATTTATAAGTATAAATAGAAGATATGTGCAATAGGTTATTTTTAATTGAGTGGTAAGCTACGTACCATATACATTTTTTTTTCATTCCAAGTATTTTTTTTTCTTTTTCTTTCCTCTCAGTGTTTGGAGTTCAAGCTTGCAACAACAAATTATTTTATTTTTATATTGCACTTATAACGATTTGGTATTTAGGAAAACCATTAGAGTATTAAGCAAATATATTTTTTTTGAAAAGCTTGCATTCACCTCACAAAAGTAAAAGTAAAGTATTTTTAGTATTTTTTTTACTGTTTAATGTAGACAAAAGACATAAACCTGAAAAGAAGTAAAATCTTTTGAAATTTTCTAGTACTAAAATAATGAGAAAAAAAATATCGTTTGTGTTTTTATGTGTTTGTCTAATTTTGTTTTTTTACGGAAAAAAAATATACATTAAATGTATTGAGGTTTGGATTAAGCATGTCGAGACGTCATAAGAAGTGTAAGAACTTAGACAAACTATCTATATATTTGGTAGGTTTAGCGTTAGAGTCTTAGGTGTTTCAGTTAGGAATTGGCTAGGAGAAAGTATACGACCTACTTCAGTATGTTATTTTTAATTGAGTCGTAAGTTACGTTCAAGTAGGGGTGGCAAATCGTGCTGTCGTTTCGTGTTTCTGTCTGATACGACACGACACGACAAAGTTTTATGTAACACGAACACGACACGACATGATGTCGTGTTTTTTTTAACTAACACGAAAACGAACGAATTAAAAAACGACAAACACGACACGACACGAAAAATATATCATATACTAAAAACTAGTTTATTTAATGAATACTTTATCAAATATAACACGAAAAGCACGACAAACACGGCAAACACGAAAAACACGATAAAGAACTGCTAAATCGTGTCAATTTCGTGTCGAATTTTGAACACGAACACGACACGACACGACATCGTGTTTTTTATAGTTAACACGAACACGACACGAACACGAATTCAAATTTCAGTTTCGTCCAAATTTCGTTTCGTGTCGTGTATTTTTGTCGTGTCGTGTCATAAATTGCCACCCGTACGTTCAAGATACATTTTTTTTCCATTCCAAGTATTTTTTTTCTCTCACTGTTTGGAGTTCAAGCTTGCACCAACAAATTATTTTATTGTTATATTGCACTTATAACGATTTGGTATTTTGGAAAACCGTTAAAATATTAAGAAAATATATTTTTTTTGCGAAAAACTTGCATTCACCTAACAAAAGTAAAAGTAAAGTATTTTTAGCATTTTTTTTACTATTTACTGTACAGAAAAGACTTAAACCTAAAAACAAATAAAATCTTTTTGAAATTTTCTAGTAATAAAATAATGAAATTTTTTTTTTTTTTTTGTGTTTTTAAGTGTTTTTCTAAATTTTTTTTTTATGCTACTTCGATCTTTGCAAATTGCAATAGATTCTAGCTATTTAAAAACCATTTTAACCATTTGTCAATATATCGAACTTTGTACTCGATTTTTGTATGGATACAAACGTATCACTATTTAACTCTGAAAATTGAGTAATGAAGAATGATAGAATCAACACATTTTAACCAACACTAACCAATACAAAATAATATATGTTGACACAGATTAGGAATATTAAGAACCATTAATTTATTTTATTGAAAATGATGTGAATGCATAATTTTGTAGCACATGAATTTGCTTTCCAAAGAAAACTCATAATGATGTTTCATTATGCTCTCTCAAGTTAACAAATCAGTATCTAGAAACTAATTCGGAGGATACTTAAGAGTAAGACAAATTTTAGTTTCCCAAATAATCAAACAAGGCCCATGAATCACAAAATTACATTAAGCAAATCGCTCTTTTCAAGAACCAAACAATCCAAAAATAAACTTTGCAAGTCTTATCGATGAACTAAATTCAAGATCTGATCATGGAATGTCGACATATAGGGCAAATTGGATTAACCAACAACCACTCCTTGATGCAATGGCCGTGGAATGAATGTTGGCAGGACACCAGAACACCGATTTTCTGGTCCTTAGTGAAAGCCTCAAGACATATTACACAGTCATCGTTCTTGCAAGTACTACTATCATATATTTGCTCCTGCACAATTTCACCATTAAGTTGGGTGCCTGCTTTTTGGTTAAGGATTCGCTGTTGTATCGCCTCTAGAAGATGGTTGTTGACAGGGGTGCTTGTTGGCATTAGGGTTGGTGGTATCGCCACCACCACATGGTCGTTAACATGGGCTGTTGTTGGCATTGGGGTTGGTATGGCTATCCTATCAATCATGGAAGGAAGGGACACAAGAAAGCGAAACAGAGCAACAACACAAGGCAGCACAAAGAAGTTGACACACAAAAACGCTGGACACAAACATAGCACGAACATGGCACAGTACGCAGATATGGATATCCAATCAATCATGGCTGATCGATTAGCTAACGTTAACGTTTCAATTCTAATTGTGATCATATATATTATAATATAATGGGATAAAGATCCATATAAGGAAAGAATTAAAAATTAGGTTGACGGACTGAGTCGGAGGCATGCGGTTGTTAATATCTATCCGTATTATACTAGGAAACATCTTCTTTGGTTTTATATATTGAATTATCTATTTATAACTATAATCTTGAAGGAAACGGAAACTACATGCACCTTAATGAGGCAATTTTCGTTTAGTGGGTAGAGTCCTAAGATGGACAGGAATATGAAATTTGGTATAAACCGAGACCGTTTAGGAAGTTTTTGTTAATGGGTCAAGACAAATTGGTTACGGACCGTGATCGTGTAAAGAAAACCAAAGGGTTTAGTACTTTATTGCCATCTTCTATAGTTCTATTTCACTTTAAATATTTAACAAAATATTCTAAAAATATATTAAGCTGTGTATTGAAAAGATATATAGTATTAAACTTGTAACATTTTCCTGTTAACGCTACAAGAAAAGAGGGTAATAGCCGCGACAAAAGTCACCACTAACGACTGTAAAAGTAGTCGGTAAAGGTAATGACGGCGACACGCCGTCGGTAAAAAGTCGTCACTACTGCCCCGTCGCAATTGATCAAAATGTCGCCGGTAACAACAGTTGTCGCCGCTAATTCAGGTGTCACCGGTAATAACCGTTGTTGCCGCTAATGCTCGAGTCGCCGTTAATTCATCTTGTCGTCGGTAATAATATTTCTCATTTTCTACACTTTTTTTAATCAACGATTTTGGTGCAAAAAACCGGATAAATATCGACATTAAATGCAAAAAAAATAAAATAATCAAATAAATAATATCCGATTAGATACCAGATAGTGTAACGACATTATATATAATTAATTTCATACCAAAATAAACAACCAAAGTTTTATAATTACAACAAGCTAGTACCAAAGTGTGACGATAAGTCTAACATACAAAACACAAACTAATTATCTGACGAACAATCACCTCCCTTCCCGTCATTTCCTCCCTAATCTTTCCCCGATTGAAAAAACGCGTAAAGCTCATCCCTACACACCGACTTGTTGAGTGTTGCCCGAAGATTTTCCAACTACATAATAAATAACAACATATATAAACTTATAAGTTCAATTATCAAACCAAATGAACATGCATTTATTGATGCCAAAGTACACAACTATTTTTAAACTAGGGACAAAAAACCAAAGTAAATTGCTATTTCTTGCACCTAAAACATAAACACAATTACCACATCAACAAGGCATTTAGTAATGCCAAAGTACAATGCTATTTTTAAATTAGGGACAAAAAACCAAAGTACATTGCTATTTCTTGTATTTGTGCAAAAAAAAACAGTTACCAAAGCTTTTAGCAAATAATCACCACAAACCAAAATTATCAAACCAAGATGCACTTATTGAAATTAAATAATATTGTTTTGCCTGTGATGGTTGTGTTAACTATGGTTGTGTCTGCGATGGTTGTGCAATCGGCGAGATAGCATAAGGTTTTTCGGTCGATGCATATGATATTACCATGTCGTCACCTAATACTCTCTCGAAAGTAGCTCTTTCTTGAGCGGATGTTAACTCTCTTTCACCTTTTGGCCCTTGCTTTTGTTCTAAGAGTTCTTCCACTAATTGATTATGTGTTTTCCAAAATTGATTAACAATTAAGTTTAAATAAACACTTAATTATATGATAAAATTATAATTAAATACTTACCTATTGTTGTTCTGCCTCAACGCTAACAAACACACCATTTCTATCGATATGAGCCTTGCGAAATGTTTCCACTCTCTTCAGGTTCTCGTCAACATTAAAAATTAGTTTATATTTTAAATAAATAATTACAAATATCATACGTTACCTTCTTATAGCAAGTACTGCTTTACAAGCTCGACCCCCCACGTTTCACGATCGTTTTCATTTCACGGACTTTTTTGTTCCTTTCTAAACCAGCTTTGTGTTCAGCCGTTTGAAAATACTCAACTTCTTTCCCCTAATTATCGACCTCCATATCATATGGGGGTTGGCTAATGCTCTTGGGATATCCTCATACCTTTTGACTTGCAAAAAATATTCTTTTGTATCAGCTTTACGGTCTCGATAACCTTTTAACAAAGTGGCTTCAAAACTCTCTAACAGCATAGCAACGTCTGGATCTTGGGACATCCCATCCAAATCAAACTTTTTCTACAAAAACAAAAAAAATAGTCAACTAAAAACCAGTCATAATAAACCATATAAATTATTCTTATATAAGTAATTTACCCTTAAATGTTGTTTTATTGTATCCTTTATCGTAGGGGAAAACTTTTTTCCAACTCCATTCATCAAAAGGGACCATCCGCCACATTATTTTCCAAACTTCACGTGCAAACATGTCATTCGGCTCTGCTACGAGATCATATGTCATATTGTAACGACGTAAATTTTCAAAACAAAATTTTCATTTTTAATCATATAATATTCATAACACATTTCAGAAAACATCATTTATTTAGTTACATAACATAACTCCGAGTTTAATCAGTTAATAATCCAGGATCCTCGAAACATAATTCTTTCTCTGGTGTGTACAATCAAGTCGGCGCCGTTCCACGATCCAGAGAAAACCTGAAACACATAACACATAACACGGTAAGCACGAAGCTTAGTGAGATCCCCAAAATACCACGCACAAGTAATTAGCCACTCGAGGCTATAACTCTGTAAGACCTTTCAGTCAATGTGTCTCAGTGGAACCCTCCAGTCCCATAGCTCGTTGGACCCTCTGGTCCGGTCATAGCTCGTTGGACCCTCCGGTCCGGTCTGGCTCGTTGGACCCTCTGGTCCGGTCATAGCTCGTTGGACCCTTCGGTCCGGTCTTGTTGAGAGCCTTCCGGCCTCATAGTTCGTTGGACCTCCGGTCCGGTCTAAGCAATAAATAATACAACATACAATGCATATCACACAAACACATAAGAATCTCTGGTCACACATAGTTACCACTCTAGGTAAAGTATAGTGAGAAGACTCACCTGATGGCTAGTAGGTAATAGACAGCACTCGAAAATCCTGGACTAGCCTCCGCCTACACATTACACAAGCATCTCGATCATTATTCGCCTTATTACTCATTTACTCATCAAGTCCTCTTTTCCCCTTTTTACCCTCGGGATGGGTAAAAGTCTATTTTACCCCTCCTTGGTCCCCCCTGACGCTTATTGACTCACCCAGGAAGTCAACAGAAAGCCAGACCGAGTCAACAGCCAAGATTGACCTTACTCGCCGAGTGTACACCTGTGACTTGTCGAGTCCACTCGTATTCTTCACGTTCTTCCTAGCGTTCATTCAGCAGCTCACTGAGTTGACTCCCAACTCGATGAGTTAACACTGGGTCCAGGCTACTAGGTCACACCCGCTATGACTCGTCGAGTCACCCCATGGACTCGGCGAGTCGGCTCCATCGGATTTCTCATTCGGCCACCTGAGGTCACATCTGTGACTCTAGCTTATAGATCCAACCTCCTAGCATCCAAAAGTCACGTAAAGGTCCAGCCTTTATGCTCATGCTTCACATATCTAGCTCTATTTGACAAAATGACCCTCTTAATGATGTTTTAGGCTCAATACTCTTATGTGACTGCATAAAGATGGGATCATAGGACTCTCTGCACCTCTCAAGGTCCAGATCTGATGTCTAAGCCTCAAAAGGACTTCACATACTTCATAACTCAACTTAAAAGAGGGTGAAGAAACCCTAAATTCATGAGATCTACTAACCATACGAAAATAGGTATAGATTTATACCTTAAACAACAGCCTTGAATGGAATAGCAGCAGATCTGAGCCCCTCAAGTCGATCTTGCTTGAACAACCTCCTTCTTCCTTGCAAGAATGCACCAAGATGATGAAATTAGCCCCCTCCTTCCCTCTATGCTCTCTGTATCAAATAGGGTCTCTCAAGGGAAAGTGTGGCCGCAAATGAAGGCCATAAGATCCTTTAAATAGGTCACAAACCCGGGCAATTAGGGTTTTCCTCTGCAGCGCTGACTCGGCAAGTCAGATACCCGACTCGTCGAGTTCATCCATTTAACATGTCACCAACTCGCGACCCTACTCGACAAGTTGAGGCACCAACTCGTCGAGTCGCCCAAGCAAACTCATACTTGCATATAGAAATGTTATACCTTGGAAATCAGTATGTTACAATTCTCCCCCACTAGAATTAGATTTATCCCTCGAAATCACTCCTTAACTACACAAAGATTGAATCCAATAACCCGAAAGGCACTACCGAAAGGATCTCATACCACACCGATATCTTTTTCCATGGACACCTGAATCCACACAGAAATTCCCAAGTCCGGAACAGAACTAACCCTTCTGCCGCTAGGATACCCCTTTCTGACCTTCCCAAAATCTGGCCCGCTGCCAGACCGCCCACTCAATCTATCACCATGTTATTCGCTCCTCGAATCATCAAACCCTGATAACTCACTGCTCCTCTGATTCTCATAATACAACATTCGACAATCGGCTACCGATTACTCACACCAAACGTACAAAACGATCCGAGTCACGCCCCAAGGAATGAAAGGGTTCACCTCCCACCAGGGCTCATCCACCGAACTACCATCCGAACCCATCCGAACAATAAACTTTCAACACCCTGTTCTCCGACACAAGAACAAAATGATCATGCTCGCTCAGAAGTCCTCAAACATCTAAAAATCATAATCCTTCACTTTCCCCCAGATATCTCTTTATAACATTTAGCACCTGGTCTACTCTCAGCCTCACAGTTAGACCTCCAAAGGTTACCCACTACATGCCCAACACGTCTTGCCACCTTCCTTCCCACAACACTATCTCGGTCCATTGTGACGCACAAGTCACAAAGTTATTTTCACCCCAAACGAATACTACAATCCCAAATGAAGATCGACTCAACCCCGACCTCTGTCATCTACTGCACATAGTTC